AATAGGACTTAGAGGTGTGCCCATGCCACTTCCAGTAAGACAGGCACACACAGTAGGACTTACTACAATCCTTCTCCTAAGCACTAGGTAATAGAATGAACAGTATGCAAAGCCCATTTAAACAAGCGAGAGTACCTCAGGTCACCAAGGGACAGAACTCATGTGACAACTGATGACATGTCCAGATTCCAGGGACATGTGGATTTGAGAGGAGAGGTTTAATATCACCGTGTCATTCATTATTCAGATACCTCTTTGCAAGTCTGCTTTCATGGAAAGTGCAGCTCCCAACAGCATATTGTGTTTAACGATGTGCAGATCCGTTGGGAGGGTGGGTAGGGTGTCAAGGTGCTTCATTTAAATCCTATTTACTGCAGTCTCTGCAGCCAGCTCTGGGAGCCATTCATCAAATGGTCTTAAGCACAAGGCCCTTCCTCCTGGGCTAAATTTAGATCTTTAATAAGCTGTGGGGCAGGAACCTTTTCCCGGCAGAGGGTTGGCTACTGATCCAGGGACAGGCACATGAGAAACACAAAGCTGTCCAGGCATCTATGCCCATGGACTGCTGGGCCCATACCAAACACATGAGGAATACTGTTGGAACCAAACCCAGGTTTTTAAACCTTAATCTGTCTCTTTCCCATCCTCCCATGAGGAAAAAAAAGCAAAAACAGAACAGAAAACCAAAACCCCACATGGTTCTTGTGTGTTTGCAACTGAAGGCCAAGAGCAGGGAGGCTGTACCCATGTTCCCAGGTAGTTAAAGCCAGGCTCCTCCTCGCAGCTTCTGAGGAGGTAAGGCTCAGACCTGAGACCGAATGTCTAACAGGTTCCCTGGAGGTGTCGGTGCTGTGTATATAGGGGCCATACTTGTTCCAGAGACTCGGCAGGATGCTGAAGGAAGGGCATCTGCCATAGCTGTTCATCAGTAGACTACAGATGGGCCTTCCTCAAGATCTAACTGTCCAGTCTCACAGCCTGTCTCAGCAGTCTTAGCCACAGAAAGTCTCAGGATCAGAGAAGGCAAATCATTCTTCCAAAGTAAACTGGCCATCCAGCCGATTTGCAGAGTAACTTCAAAATGCACCTCACTGCAGGGCTGCCTGCTTCAGGTCACAGTTCCGGCAGCAGCTCTAAGCAGGTCCTATTCCCCAGCCTGTTCTTACCTGCTTTGAATCTCACACTATTCCCTGACCCCAGGTGCCCAAGGTCACTCACAGGAGGCCAGAAAACCACAGCATCTTTGAGCTCATAATTAGCTATCACTAATTCTCTTGGGCAGTCCTATTCCTGAGGCCTTGACTACTCTACAAAGGGGACAGAGAAGCTGTGGCAAGTTCTCAGGTATCCTGTGTGTTCCTCTATCAGTGTCAGAGTCTGTCTGTAGGTATGGAGGGTTCATACCAGGTGCCCAGATGACCCTGTAACAAGACTGTCAAAGTCACAGTCATTTGGCTCGTGCTATGGCCTGACTCTCCCCAGGAGCTTCAGCAGTAAGACAGAGCAGAGCTGCTGGCCCCCCAGGGAGCATCCTGCCATCCACAGCGGAATATCTTGCTAGGGTGCTATGTGCCTCTTTGAAACAGCACCCACAGCGGCCTATATAAATCACCTTGTTCACAGTCAATTTCACATCCTGATGAAGCCAACCCCTGTGCATTTCTCATCCTGTCCGGCTCCCAGAGCAAGCAGCAGGCACTTACCTCAACACTCACCACCATAAAGTAAAATTATTTCATGTGACATAGAGGAGGTGAGAAGAACACAGCCAGAGCCACTTATCCTGATTCAGACTGGAATGCAGAAGGAGGGGCCAACAACAGGGTGGGGCATCTGCTCCCCAAGAAACTGTGGGCAGCACTTGCTGCAACTCTGCTACACTGTGGCGGGAGCTGCCCAGTCACAGGGTGTTCCCAGCTGTTTCTCCTCCTTAGCTTGTGCTGTGGTTCGTGGTTAATTTGTAACCAAGCTATGCAATATGGTGGGTACAGCCCACCTAGCAAATGGGTTAAGGAAAGGGGCCTCCTGACACAAAAGGTCACACACTAAGAATCCGGTGCTTTGTGCATCTGCCTCTCTGTACAGGGCCACGTCACCCACAGACAACCCTGTCAAGACCCCTGTGGACATCTGAGGCAGCAGGCTTTCTGGCTTTCTTCTACACACATGGCTGCAACACTATCCAATGATAAGTCAAACACAATCAGAGATGAACAATCAGTAGCAAACAAAACCCGTGTAACAACTTACATCCTATGGCTGTGGTCCCTCTCTGTTAGTGTCCTATTGTTCAGGGATGATGGGAGATGATACAAGGCCTGTGTGATAAGATGAAGGAGGTAGATGGCATCTGCCTGTGGTGTGGCAGTAGGCCACTCCTGATTGATGGACCCAGGAGGAGGGCCACCTGCTTATGCAAGTCTGGCTCTGGTGAACGAGCACATCATGGGCATACTGGCCAAAGGGATGAGTCACACACAGGGTGGGATGGGGTGGGGCTACATGGTGTTTCTTCACGGAGATTCCTCAGGGAGATTCATAGCTGGAAACTTGTGAATTATCTTTAGAATTTCCCATCTAATATATAATATATTTGGACTGAGGTTGATTCAAGGACAACTGAATTCTCAGAAGCAATGGATAGATGGGAGCTGAAGAGATGGCTTAGTGGGTAAAATGTCTGCTTTGCAATTATGAAGACTTGAGTGATATCCCCAGGCATGGTGGCCTATTTCTGTGACCCCAGGACTAGGGGGACAGGCAATAGGACCCCTGGGGCTTTCTGGCCAGCCTAACTGTACCAGCAAACTTCTGTTCCCACAGGAAGGCACCCGGCATGTGACCTCCATGCCCATGCACACACAGCAGGCAGACATTGCATTTTCCTGAGGGGTGAGGAATCACCTTCCTTCTTCCCAGGACATGTATGGTTAATAAACAGTGAGGCCGAAGGAACAAAGATATGGCATGTTAGCTTACAGTTCTCAATTTTAAAGCTTCATGGCCCTACTCTGGATAACTAAAAATGCAAAGGACCCAAGTCAGACCCACTCATCATATACCCGCTCAGACCATGGGGTGTAATCAGCAGACAGAAACGCCTATGGTCCAGGAATCATCTGCACTTGTAGGTGTGTCTGGGAGAGAGGTACCTGGTACGTGCTCATCATGACTACCTAGACACACTGAAGACAGCAGGGCAGAGATGTTCCCACCACTATCACTGTAAATGAATCCCCCAAAAGGACCTAGTAAGGAAGGAAAGCACTACTAGAGCCAGGTGCACATCTGTAAATGGTTGCCAGCAAGTGCCTCCGATGTGTTCCATGCCTAGCACAGCTGTTAGAGTAAAGATTCCAAGTGACTCAACTTGAATTCTGGGACAAACAGAGCAACATGCTCACTGCAGCAGCAGCAACAGGAGAAGCTGCTTCCCAGAGCTCTCAGCACCACAGTGGGCTGGGAACAAATCATGGCAGCCACAGGAGCAAGGAAGGAGACACTCCCACCTACTGTCAAAGTCACTGTGTTCCCATTTCACCAGCCCACTTACTGACTCTTGAGGAGTCTGCTTTGCTCACAGGTACACTATGGAACAGGATGGAGTTTAAAGCTGGGGTTCACAGGGGAGAACCGCCACCCCCCCCCCCCCCCCCCCGCTTTGCTGCAGCCCCTAGTGTAGTGCAGGAGTGGTGTGGCTTGGCGGCGACATCACTCTCTCTCACCCACTCCCACCACTTGGCCAGTGGCAGGCTGGCTGTGGTTTTCCTTGGAGGGTCCTGAGCCAATCATCAGTGCAGATTAGAACCGAGGCTGCCTTTTGCCCCTCAGAAAGAGAGTTCCAGAGAGTTCCCAGATCAGCCCAGGAAAATGTGGATTCAACGTCCACAAATGGAGTTTGGGAAAGGCTTCCCAGCTCCAGCTCCTGGAGTAGAGGATTGGAGAGACAGAGGTAAGGACAATATCCAGGCTCTAGGAATGTGATGGTGGGGACACTGTCCTCAGCTTGTCCTCTCTCTACTGGCCAAAGGGCTGCAGTCTGCTCATGTTCCCGAGTGCTGAGACTAGATGAGGGTTGGGGGAGGCAGTTGGGAACAGGCCGTGTCCCAGGCCCCCTCTCTCCTCAAAATGCATCTGAACTCACTAGGGATGGGGTAAGGACACTTATGTCACTGTCCATGAAGACAAAAGACCCCTGCAGCACCCTCCTATGAAAGCCATGGACGCTGGGGACCGAGGGCTCTGCTGACAGTCACGGGGTTTCAGCTGCCATAGGCACCCTTCCCTAGGGGCCCACTTCCGTCAGAGTCTCAGGCCACAGAGCCATGTGGGATCATGAAAGAACGCAGCCACTGGACCAGGACGGGAGCCAAGGTCACTGCTGCTGTCATCTTGGGAAACAGGGACTTGGAGGGGTGTTCAGCTTAACATGTGGGAGCGAGAGGCAGGGTGGTAAGACGAGGCATAAAAACAGACTCCATCCAGGCTGAGAAATCTGAGGTGTGCTGACCGTGAAACACTGTCACAGGCACACCACTTGCCGGTCTGGGAGGACCATCCGTGTAGGTGTGTGACAAGCCAATGCCCCAAATGGGAAAAGGCCACAAGGTCACTGGGAAAGGGAATCAGGCTTATTCTGTCACTCCAGAAGGGGGAACCAGGGCCAGTTGGTCACAGGAAACCTCTTAGCCTCCCAATGGAAAGTGAGCACTCTGGTCCCCATTACTTGGCTTTCAGGTAGTGTAGACATCTCCCGATAGGAAGCTTAATACAACAAGCATCTGTCTCAGGGAGTGGACAAGTAGAGGGGGCTGGCTGATGCCTTCACATTCCTTCTGACCCTCAAAGAGCACAGTCCTGTGAAACAAAAGCCCCCAAGTCATCTTTCCTCCCTGGGGAAGCACACGACAAGCCCAGTTACAAACTTCTGGCCACGTGGCCAGGCTCAGGCTGGACAGGAGTCCTGTGTCAGACAGAAGGCGGCGCTCCTGCAAGCAGTGACTATGTCAGAAGACGAGGGAGGTGCTCCGGCAAGCTGTGATCAAATCAGAAGGCAAGGCAGAGTCTTACTGAAGGGTTTAGAACAGTGACTTGGCGTAGAAGGTGACTCATGCCTTTCTCAACTCTCAGATGACACAGAAAGAAAGATGTTCACGCATATAAAAGGCCTGACTCTGAAGAACAGCGTGTCCCCCTTTGGTTCCATGCTCTGTCTCATGGCCCCAAGGGTAGGTCTGCCGAGGACAACAGGCACATGCCACTGGATACTGGACTGCAGCTGGTATGTTTCCACACTTTCCACTCCAGGAACCCTTCCGGCAGCTCTGATGGATCAGCTGGACTTTAGGGTATGCTAGGGCCCTCTACAGGGCAAACGCTGAGCCAACTGCAGCTTTCCCATCTATGCTGTTCTGCTGGGAATTTACACCAGAGCCAGCCAGCCACAGGCAGAGAGGCCTGAATGAGGAGGAGAAGTGGATGGAAGCAGCCTGGAGCTTGTGAGTTAGGGTAGGAGGTCTTCAGGTGGAACAGAGTGACTGACGAAGCAGCAGATTACACAGGAGCCAGGAAACAGGAACAAAGATCCTTTGGGAGCCTTCCCGACTCTGCATTCTCTTCTGGGCTAATAGTCTCCAGAGGAGTCTCCACTGCACCACCGGAAATTTTCTGAAGTATGTGCTGGGTTGGAATGCACATACCACATAGTCCCTTCACTCTTTTTATGGGTCCCACGTCTTGGCCACTTCCATAAATGTACATTGTGGTGGTCTGAATGAAAACTGGCGCCCACAGATTCACGTATTAGAGCACTTGGTCCCCAGTGGTGGGTAGTGTTGGGGAACCTTTAGGAAGTGTGACGGGGTGGGGGTGGGCTTTGAAGGTGTATAGCCTCATCCTACTTCCTGTAGTCTATCTGAGGGCTGCCATGCCTCTCCCCACCATGATGGACTCTGTCCCTCTGGAGCCGTAAGGCAGGTAACCCTTTCTTCCCTAAGTTGCTTTGTTGGTGCTACATCACAGCAGCAGAAACTGAAGTAACATATACATATAATGCTGCTCATGCTTTCTAATAGCCTAGAAGAGTTCCTCTAACGGATGTGTGCGTGCTGTGCACTGTGGAGGCTTCTGCTGGTCCTTCATTCCTGTCCCTTTGGTCTGCAAACGAGGCAGCCAAACATGAATGTCACATTTTACTTCACACATGCCTCTGATTATTAAGTGAGCAAATCAAAACAAAGTACAGCATGGTTAACTCAGCCGGGGGTCACGTGAGCTGAGTTGGAAAGGCTATGAGCTGTTGTTCTCATTCCACGGGACCTGGGGCTAGCCATCTAGGAAAAGGAGGGCATTTGCTCTCTCTCTTCTCCCTCTCTCACTACCCTTCCCCTCCTGTCTCTCCTCTCCCCTCTTGTCTTCTCTCCCATCTATGACCCCTTCCAATGATGCACCACTCCGCACTGACTGAAGGGTAGGCAAAGCTTTGCCCCAGAGGTCTGTGTTTAGCTCTTCCAGTCACTCCCCTTAGGTCGGCACACAGGGCCCTCTTTCTGATCAGAGCTAGTCTGTGGCTGTAATGGGTGAAGGCAGGGCTACTCCACCACACCCCTGTCGTGAATCAGGGGTCAAGGTGGCAGGAACCTCCCCTCTACATCCACTATGCCCTTCTCTGGGTTCCTATCACTGCCACTCAAGCCCTGGCCCAGGGTCCACCAGGAGCAAGTTGAAGGGCCTGCTTTATTGACCCTGAGACCCAGGTTTTCCTCCAGCCTATGTAGATGGTCCTGGCCCTGTCACTGGGCGGTTTTGCTCCTCCACCCGGAGCAATGCCCACTGTGGGGAGGAAGGGGAAGGACCCACTTCTTGTTGCAAGCTGTGAGTCCAGAAGGCAGCAGGAGCGCCAGCCTCATCAGCACTCTCTTCCTAGGGTCTGCAGCACCCTGGGCAACTGGTGAAGCCTGAGGGAAGGTCCCTCTCAGATGTGTGAGCATCAGCCCTGACAACCTCTTCTCTCAGCTCCCTCCCTGCCTGGTCCCCAGCCCTGGCGCCACACTCTTCACTACAGTTAGTAGAGTCTAGGTCACCAAGAGTCCCTGCTGACTGGCCTGTCTTCTAGTCTTGTGTGTTTACCCATGTTAAAACTCTTCTGCTTGATATACCCAGCATGCTCTCTGTTTTCACAGGTCAGACCTCCATAAATACACCATCTGTGTGGTGATATCTTGCTTGTACAAATAAAGCCTGTCTGAAGATCAGAGGATGGAGCTTGTCACTAACTAACCATAGAGGTCTGGAGGTCTGTACAGACAGACAGGAAGTGAGGTGGCTGGGTGCAGAGAGGATATAAGTGGGACGAAACAGGAACTCGCTCTCTTGTCTGTGGAGATGCTAAGAAGCTAAGGCGTGGCTGTGGCTTGCTCCTTCTTCTCTCTGATTTCTCAGCATTTTCCTCTATATCTGACTCTGGATTTTTATTATTTAGACCAATTAAGAACTCCATTTACACATCTATAATAGTTATTATTAATTGTCAACCTGACAAAATCTAGAATCACTTATCCCCTCTGGGCATATCAGCAGAGGTTATCTTGATTGATGGAATTGAGGTAGGAAGATACCCCCTCGTCCCCACACCCCCCATCCCCTCACCCTCTCACCCTCTCACCCCTTAATCCCTCCCACTCTCTCACCCTTTCACCCTCTCATTCCCTCACCCCCACCCCAGTGGATGAGACTACTCCCTGGCTGGCTGGGATCCTGAACAGTGTAGTGGAGAAAGGGAGCCTAGAGCAACATGAATCTACTGTTCTCTGTTCCTGATTAGAGGTGGGCCAGCCCTTCAGGTGCCCGCTGCCTTGACTTCCCTGCCATGATGGGCGTGATCAATAAATACCATATAAACCCTTTGTCCCTTAAGTTGCTTGTGTCAGATTATTTTATCACTGTAAGAGGAAAAGAACCTAAGACACAGGAGGCGATCAGTGTTTCCATGCTATCTGGAGGACTGCTGGGAGAGGCGATCACTGCCCGAGTCTGAATAGATGGACACTTCCGTGTACAAAGGCATCCAGACCCCAGGGTCTCAGGCTTCGTGGTCAGTCACATCTGTTTCAAGCACATCACTCCAGGCTCTCTGGAAGGCTGTTCCCCTCTCAGTCTGGGTAAGACTGTGTAGCTGGCAATCACTCAGAGCTTTCTAAGACAGCATCTGTCAGTAAATTTCATGTGGCTGGTGATATTTCTCTTTTTCTCTCTTCTATAATCTGAGGATGTGTACAATTTTATTTGGTCCATTTAGACAAAGTAGAGAGGGGATTGCAGTAAGGCCAAGGATGTTCCCAGGCTGCAGCTGCCCAGGGACCACGGGCTCTGCTTCCTCCCTTCCTCTCCACTGCTCATAAGCGGGGAAGGGTTCAATGGCTTATCTTGTCAGCGTGGGAACCATCCTTGGGTACCTAGCTGTTCTGGAAAGAGACTGAAGACACCTAAGAACTTCCAAACGTTCCGATTAGATCCTAAGTTGTATATAAATTCCCTTAAGTATATTTATAGTTGCTAAATTACAAAGCCACAAGTCAAATTCCCCTGTGTTACATTTGCCCTGTGTGTGTCCGTGTGTTCGTGCATATGTGTCTGTGTACACCTGCATTTGTATGCACTCACACATGCACAGGTGTATGAGGAGATGCAAGTGCTCATTGGTGTGCATGTGGAAGCCAGAGGAGGACACTGTGTATCTTGCTCTGCTGGGTTCTGAATGAGGTGACACACATGTGTCTCAGGCATTTGAATACTTGGTTCCCAGTCAAAGGCCCTTTGGGGAGGATTAGGAGGTGTGGCCTCGCTGGAGGAGGTGTGTCACTGGGGATGAGCTTTGTGGTTTTTGAAGACTAGCACCATTTCAAGTTTGTTCTCTCTGCTTCTAGTTTGTGGGTCAAGATGTGAGTTATCAGCTGCTGCTCCAGTGCATGCCTGCCTGCCTGCCTGCCTGCCTGCAATCCATCTGATGGAGATGACCTGCAGCTGCTCCAGCGCATGCCTGCCTGCCTGCCTGCAATCCATCTGATGGAGATGCAACTGCAGCTGCTCCAGCGCATGCCTGCCTGCCTGCAGTCCATCTGATGGAGACAGACTCAGCCCTCTGGCACTGTTAGCCACAAATAAACCCTTTCTTCTATAAGTTGTCTTGGTCATAATGTTTTATCACAGCAACAGAAAGTAACACATTTTCCACCACTTCCTGCCTTACTCCCTTGAGACTGGATGTCCCACTGAGCCTCAAGTGTCACTTTTCAGCTAGGCTGGCTGTCCAGAGTGACCCTCCTTTTTCTGCTTCCCCCAATCCCCAGCCCTGGGATTATATAGCTCTGTGGCCACACCTGGTTTTCACACGGTCAGTCCCTAAACCCAAGTTCACTCAGCAGGTACTCTTACACCCGAGCTGTTCCCCTGGCCCTATATTTGTGTTTTCAATAAGGAAAAGCATATTTTGCTCCTTTTTGTTAAACCCTGGAATGCATGGATAGCTCAACCCTTCCTTTTGTGGGAGCTTACCAGCCCACACTTTAGGGGAGCCTCCAGGATGAGGAGCCAGGAGGAATAAACATTCTTCCTCATCTCCATGGATGGAGCCAGTTTCTAGACTGAAACTTCTATCTCTGACAATGAGAAGAGCCCTGGTTACAGAAAAGGTTTCCTAGGCCAGCCTGGTAAGCTGACTCTGCTCATTGGTTCTGAGCATTTTGTTTTCCTGACTTTAAAACCCACTCTATCGGGGCAGTGGTGGTGCACACATGCCTTTAATCCCAGCACTCAGGAGGCAGAGGCAGGAGGATCTCTGTGAGTTCGAGACCAGCCTGGTCTACAAGAGCTAGTTCCAGGACAGTCTCCAAAGCCACAGAGAAACCCTGTCTCGAAAAACCAATAATAATAATAATAATAATAATAATAATAATAATAATAATAATACCCACTCTAGCTCAGCTACAGCTTGGCTCCAGTGTTTCTTGTCTTTCCTGATTCTAACCACAGCTCTGTAACTACCCTGGCTGACCCACTCAGGCCTCCAGGCCTAACAGGCTTACTGTTTCCATCCCCTGCCATCTCCTCCTTCTCTGATGCTGGGATGTGGCCCAGGGCTTTGCAGATGCTAGACAAGCACTCTGCTGAGCTACACCCACAGCAGGAGTGTTTTTGAGACCAGATCTCATTACACAGCTCATGCTGGCCATGAATGTTCCATCCTCCTGCCTCAGCCTCTGAGTACCAGGGTTACAGCGTGTGCTTTGGGGGTTCTACCTCCGGGGGAGCTAGGGTTTGTGTTGAGGTGCCTTTATGCCAGGAGTCCTGAAAGATTCCTCATTCTTGAGCTTAGACTCAAGGAGAAAAGGGTGCCTTCCCAGGAATCCAGACAAGATCCCAAACTGAAGATGGTCATGCATCTGAGAACAGCCCTTTGCCTCATAGACTAGAACTGAATACATAGCCAAATATACACTTTTGTCCCTTTTACCCTCCTTAAGCATCTGTGGAGGCCAGCACTACACACTTGGGCCGGTTCCAAGGCTTCAAATTACAGGAAGCTGTTTCCATATACACCAAGTGGGTTATTTAACATGAAATCAAACAGTTCTGTATGCCTGTGTCTGAATAAATTATACAATCATTACACTTAGAATGGGCTTGTTTTTTTCAAAGGCTCCATTCTGGTGTCACTTGAATTGAACCCCAAATTTCCTGCAATTCCTACATGGAGGCATGTTAATTCAAATGTGCCTAGTGCCTAATGGGATCTGTGCTTGCATTTTGCACAATGCATGTTCAGGCCTCTGTGCAATTTTCAGATTAATCTTGCATTCTGTATTATCATGCATACAATACACATGGCCACTAATTTCTTTATGGAGAAGCTGGAAATGCATGTATGGAGCTACAAAATCAGTCAGCTTTGACACTGAGTGAGCGTAGACTTGGGGTCTAGAGATTAACAGCCAAATAGCACTGAATAAGCAGGCTGGATATTGAGGGCAAGGTTTCAGACCTCAGCCAATGACTACGGGTCCAGAGCTGAGTGATGGCAGAAGAAAAATGAGCAAAGTCCGCTGACACAGAGGGAGAAAGGCCTGGATAATGCACGCATGGCTTCAACTCCCCTGCAGGAAGTATGTGGTGGTGGCCTGGTGTTGAGACAGATGGGATGCGTCACCTAGAAAAAGACAGGCTGAACTGCTGTTGTCCCTTGCCCATGTTGTCCTGTGCCTCCCCCCACCCCTGCCACAAAACCCACAATGAGGTTTTGTGAGGAAGCAGAGCATCTTGAGATGAGGGTGGAGCAAGAAGCTTTCTCTACACTGGGGCTGTGAACTGACAGCTAGGTTTTCATGGCTGGAACTTCCCCAAAGCACACTTATGTGTGGGTATGTGTGCACTTACGTGTGTGCTTACATGTGTGTGGTGGTGGTGGTTGTGCTTGCGTGGCAAGGGATGGGAGGGTGGGAGAGGAGGAATGGAAGAGCAAAGTGTCTTTGAGTCACCTGCCCAGAGGTGGGACACAGGAAGGAAGGCTGGGCTTGGAAGCTGTCAGCAGTCAGGACGCAAAATCAACAAGACTCACGACAATTCTTTCTTTAGTCGCCTGGGATTTAAAACCCTGTGGAAGTCTACCTACTGTGGAACCCAACTTACCTGAAACTGTAACTTCAGCAGGGCAAGTTGAAAACCACTAAAAGCAAATGCTACAGTGACAGCAAACTGGTCCAGTGCCCACACACAGCAGATACCAATCGCTGAATTTAAATTTAAATTCTGCTTGCTCCCCATATTTTCCCCCAACCTAGTGTTCTTGTGAACACAGAGAGAAGCCTTCAGATGCAGTCAGACTCTAGCTTTTATTTATAGACATATTGGGGTTGGATATGAGAGTATCGGCATGGAAGAAGCCGTGTGGCAGTGAGGATGGACAGCCCAAGGGTGTTCCCAGCTCTGTGCAAGGATGCCTACAGGGTGAGCCTCACATAGACATGACCAGCCCCATGGTTCTGCCATGGCAGCCTTAGAAAGACAAGAAGAAACTGCCCGTTATTTTAGTCCATAATGAGGGTATGCAATTTTACCACAAATTGGAATAACTGGGATGTTACTTTTTTTTTGTTGTGGAAATAATAAGTAAACTACAGATGTGAACATATGGTCAGCTTGTTATTAAATTCAACATTATTTTAAATGTTCAACCAGACATTTCATTTAGAGTTCAGGCTCATAATTGTTTTTACAGTCCAAAGTTGGTATTACAGAAAATTTGTAAATTGAAGATCAAGATGCATTTCTACAAGACATGCAGCCAGCAGAGAGCAGAGGGAAGTGATTGTGTCGGGTTCTGAGGTCACAGGTCACTTTTCTTCCTTTGCTGTTGCTTTGAAATGCCCCTCACTATGACTCAACAGATTTTCAAGAGAAATACAGTTTTTAGTCACAAGAGCTATTATTGTTTCAAAAAAAAAAAAAAAGAAAAAAAAAACAGGATTCAGTGCCTTATCATCTCTGGGCTATTATCTTATAATCTTGACTATCGACCCCAGGGCTTAGAGATCAACCCTAAGGGATGAAGGCAGATCATACAAGGCAGAATCACCTTCAGAGGCCAGGAAAAGAACTACTGACCCCACCAAGGCTGGGGAACAAGTGGGGGGCGGGGCTTTTCTTTTTAGTGTCATAGTATGTCCAAGAGGTTTCACAAATAGGCTTTAAATTCCAGTTGCTCAGTCAACAATACTCTTGTGAAAATAACCAGACATATTTGGAGCCTGGAGACGGAGTCCAGTGTCCTTGATAGTTTTACATCAACTTAACAGAAATTAAAGTAAGGCATTTCCTCTCCCTCTCTCCCCCTCCCTCCTTCCTTTCTTTCTTCCTTCCTTCCTTTCTTCCTTCCTTCCTTCCTTTCTTTCTCTTTCTTTCTTTCTTTCTTTTTTCTTTCTCAAGACATGGTTTCTCTATGTAACCTGGCTGTTCTAGAACCCGCTTTGTAGACCAGGGTGACCTGGAACTCACAGAGATCTACCTACCTATGCTTCCTGAGACTGGGATTAAAGATGTGTGCCTCCACCATTGGTTGGCATTTCTTAATTAGTGATTGAGGGGGAGGGTCCAGCCCATGTAGGTGGTGCCATCCCTGGGCTGTGGTCCTGGGTTCTATAAGAAAGCAGACTGAACATGCCATGAGGAGCAAGCAGTAAGCAGCACCTTCCATGACTGCTGCATCAGCTCCTGCCTCCAGTTTCCTGCCCTGTCTGAGTTCCTGTCCTGACTTCCTTCAGTGATGGACTATAGTGTGGAAGTTTAAGACAAATAAACCCTTCCCCAACTTGCTTTTTGTTCATAGTGTTTCATCACAGTAACAGGAACCCTAACTAAGACACCCAGTCAGTAAAACATGCCCACTGTGAATGTATGAAGACCTGAGTTCAAATCCTAGAGCACACATAAAAACATGGCATCATGGTTTATGCCTGGATCCCGGTAGAGATAGGTGACTCCCTGGGGCTTGCCAACTACCCATATGAGACCAATTGGAGAGCAACAGGCAAATGAGAGACTATCTCAAAACATAAGTCAACATTCCCAAGAATGGCAATATGTGCATGTTCATCTACACTGATACTCACAGACACACATATATACTCACAGATACACACACATGCACTCCACACACACACTCACAGATACACACACATGCACTCCACACACACACACTCACAGATATACACACATGCACACCACACACACACTCACAGATACACACACATGCACTCCACACACACACTCACAGATACACACACATGCACTCCACACACACACTCACAGATATACACACATCACTCCACATACATACACACTCACAGATGCACACACACATGCACTCCACACACACACACACACACACACACATACACACATACATACACACTCACAGATATTCACAAAACTCACCCACACACACACACTCACAGATACACACACACATGCACTCACACACACACTCACAGATACACACATGCACACCACACACACACACTCACAGATACACACACACATGCACTCCACACACACACACACACACACACAGATATACACACATACATACACACTCACAGATATTCACAAATGCACTCCACACACACACA